CCCGCAGGGCCATGCGGAGGGCCGCCGGGATGGAGGACTTCTCCGCAGAGGAAGAGGAGCCCTGGTACGACCAGCAGGACCTGGAGCAGGGTGAGCACGGAGGAGGGGGCAGGAGAGTGAGGTGCGCCCCGGGACCTCTGTCCGCTTCTCCATTGTTGGGCGGTGTCACCCCCGGGAGGGCTGAGCTGCACCCCGCGGCCCGGACTCCGATGGGTAATGCATCGGAGAATGCGTGCACACGGGTAATGCGTGCGGAGAATGGGGACGTGGAGAGAAGGGGCGCGCTGCCCTGGAAGACCGGCCCGGGCCCGCGAAGACCTGCAAAAGTCGGGGGAACGGTCTTCCTCTTCCCCGAAGGACGGGGGCATACCTCACCCAGCTCGCCCACCCCAACTTCGAGGCAGGCACTGCCCAGGGCCCCTGATATGGCCGGGGCCTGAGTACTGGCTGGAATTCTTTGGAGGCCGGGAGGTGGCTCCTTGGTTGTTTTGCTGGGAGGGGTGGAGTGTGTGGGGGGAGGGGGAGAATGATCTTATCCCAAATCCAGCGACACCCTTCCCTGCCAGAATTCCTGAGCTCTAAGACTCCCAGAAAGTTTCCCCAACTCCCTTCCCCTGACCCCGGGAAGGGGATGGGGTGCGGGCACCCAGCGGGGGAGAGGTGAAGATTTGGAGTCCCCTGGTCCTCCCCCCAAAAAACCCGCCCCCTCCCGAACTGCTCATGGTTTGGGGGTCAGGTTTGGCAATTCTGAGCAAGAGCCCAGATTAGAGGGAGCCACCTCCCCCCTCCATCTGAGAGCTGCGAGGGCGACTGGAAGTGGGTTAGAAGCTGGTGATGAGGTGGCCGAAGTGACATCACTAAGAGTAGGGGACGGGCTGTTAGACCGGAAGGAGGAGTAGGCTGAAGGGTCAGAGCCAAGGCCTGCTAGACTGGAGTCAAATCCACCCTCTCCCGGCCAAGAGCGTCTCATTCTTGGAGATCAGGGCTGGAGGGGTGTCCAGGAGAAGTGACCACAGCCCCCGGGTGGGCAGGTGTGGACACAAGTCTGATGGAGTGTGTGCTGACACCCCGGCTCTGGGGCTCCACCCACGGCCCCCAAGGCCTGGCTTTGCCCTCAGGGAGACATCTACCCAGACCCTGGAGCCTTTGTTACTGGCCCTGACCCACATCCTCCCGTGGCCAGATTTGCTAGTAGATGAGGCTCAGTCCTGGTGCTTAGGAAGGTGGGTAACCAGAGCCTCTGAGGCCTAGTGTGGGACTGCGCGTGCTGGGCTGCACCCTGCTGTACTCTGTGCCCGAGTCTCCCCTCAGCTTCCCTGCCTAGAGTGAGATGCCCAGTACTGGCTGTGACAACCCCTTCGCAGCCCTGGCCCACTAAGTGGACCAGGTGGAGTTGGGCTTGTCATTGAGTGTAGGTGACAGGATGCAATGAGAGGGCTTCATGGAAGAGGTGGCCCAGAAGGAAAGGTTGGAAGATGGCCTCCCCCTCCCGGGAGGCAGATGCTAATATTACTGCTGTCTCATTTCTTTCCTGCTCCCTTACGGAAGTCTCTGGCACCATGCCCAGCCCAGATGTGGGGGGAAGGAGCCAGGGAGTAAGGGTGGGAGATGTGTTGCTCCCAGAGAGGGAGAGGTGCCCAGATTCCCACTGGGCTGGGTGCCTGCTCTGGGACAAGGTGGGGGGTGGTCACAGCTGGCCCCCTGCTCTGGCCTTGCTGGCCTGCAGCACTCAGCCCCCCCTCCTAGCCTCAGTAGTGCCCAGAGCCCTGGAACCAGGAGGGAAACCAGAAATGGGGCAGTCTCAGAAGACATCCGAGCTTTTGACCAAACACCAATGAGTGCTGAGCCTGGGGAGTGCTCTCTGCCCTGGGGGGACTCCACATTCCAGCAGAGGAGGCAGAAAGGAGATCAAACTAGCAACCTCTGTAGCCTAGTGGTGTGGCAGGCAGACGCCTGAAGGCCCCTCTGAGCTGAGGGTGCAAGGCGCTCCCTGGGCCGAGGGAGGAGGGCAGGCATTCTAGGTGGAGGGGACACCTGCACAAGGCATGGAGCAACGTGGAAAGATCATGCATGACTGGAAGTGGGACTTAGAGTGCAAGGGTGGGGTTGGAGGAAGTCCCGGGCACAAGTACTGGGCACTACCCCCGTGGGCCAGCATGGAGAGCTGGAGGGTGGCATGAGTGTTTGCCAAAAGCCGTCCCCCACTGGGGATCAGATGCCTGTTGTGCCCCCCATCTCTACACCCAGTTCCCCAGTTCTCTGCCAGCTGCTCCCTAGGTGCCCCTTAGGGAAGTAGTTTGCCCAGCCAGCCTGGTTCTGGAGCAGCACCACCTTAGGGCAGGTCCTAGCCCCACTTCCCAGAGCTTGGCCACCAAGATCCTGTCTGACTTTGATGCTGTTGTTCCCAATAGCAAGGTCCTCGCTCTCCCTGCCCCCTGCCCACGGCCAGCACGTGTAAAAATAGAAAACGCCATGAATTAGTAAGCACCGGCACTCCTCCTCCCCATCGCAGACCTGTGGGGCCTCTTTCCACTGAGACGGGGCTGCTGACTCACAGATTTGATGTCCTGGGCGCCTGACCTTGGGACTCAGCCTCCGGCGAGAGCTCTGGTGTGACACTGAGATCGGGTGCCTGGACCCCGATTCTGTGGACACAGAGTTCCTGACACTCAGGCCCTGGAGCCTGTAAGCAGGATACCCGCAGCCCTGCCAGGTGGTAGATGGCCTCCCCCCCATCCCCCCTTCATCTTGGTCTCTCCTTCCCTGTGCCTGTCCCCTGTCCCTCTCCTGCTCCGGAGTCTGTGGGGCCCCACCAGACCCCAATCAGTGAGCACAGTGGGATTTCAGCATTTCCTTTCAGATACCCCCGTCTCATGGCCATGACCTCTAGGGCTTCCGGGGCGTTGCTCCTGGGCAGCACCTCAGCTGATTTGGGGGAAACCGCTGAAGCCGCTGCAGGAGACCCAGAAACCGGGGTCCAGGCCGGGGAAGTGCCAGGCGGCTCTGTACCGTCCCTGGCTTGGTCCAATGGTCTGGTTGTGACTGGCTGCTCATTCCTCTGGCTTAGCCAGCTCCCCCTTTCTCCCACTCCCAGGCCTCCCTCCCTGGAGCCCTCCGTTAGCTGTTGCCCTTCCCTGGCACTGGCTCCACTCAGTCCGTGGCCCTGCACCTTCTAGACCAGCGGTTCTCAACCTTCCTAATGCCGTGACCCTTTAATACAGTTCCTCATGCTGTGGTGACCCCCAACCGTAAAATTATATTCGTGGCTACTTCATAACTGTAATGTTGCTACTGCTATGAATCATAATGTAAATATCTCATATGCTATGTGTTTTCTGATGGTCGCAACCCACAGGTTGAGAACCGCTGTTCTAGACCTTTCTCAAGATCCCTCCTGGCAGCTGGGACCAGCTGAGCTTGCATTATGATTCTGTTTCCCTGTGATAGTCCCTGAGGTTCTCCCCACCCCCACGAGCTCCTATTGTTCCCTCTTCCCCATTCGTGAGTCACTAGGGCCCAGGTCACAGTCACTGCCTTCCAGGGCCAGTCCCTGGTCGACAGTGTGACTTTAGGTGCTCACCTGGGAGGATGAGCAGAGAGGACCGAGTTCATGACCATTCCTCACCCCCTCTGGGCCCTGGGACTCTGCAGGGGTCTACGCAGGCCGCCCGCAGAACCTGTCCCCCCACACCGGGCGACAGCAGCAGCAATGGCCTCTTTACAGACTACCCAAGGGAGGACCGGTTGCAGAGTGTGGCCCTGGGGGTGGTCTTGCTGGGCTCCCGACTTCCCACTGAGCACTCATAGGGCAGGGCTGCAGTTTCACAGCCCTAACATCTAGCCTCTCGCTTTGTAGACTTGCCCAACTTACAGCTGATACATTCCTACCACAAGTGTCCTCACTGCCCACTGGGTTCCTGTCAGGCAGCTAGTGTTTCCTGGCATCATCGTCAGGAGGTTAATGAATGGCTCAAGGCTGATGGTGCTGCGCTGAGATTTGTCTGAGCGAGTATTTTGTCTAAAGGCGGGGAAGGTGTTTAGGAGAGCGGCTTGTTTGTCCAGGCTGAGCCGTTGTCATTGCAGCCTTGCTCCAGGATCGCGGCTTTGCATTCCTCAACCAGGGACTCCTCTGGGTGACATCTGGGCACAGCCGCCACCCCCCTCACCTGGCCTAGGTCCAGCCTGGGGGCTGCCTGATGCCTGTTTTAAACCTGTCTTAAAATCTCACTGTCCGCGTTTGTTCCTAGTGGACGGCTAGGACTTTGGTCCAGGCCTGGTGGCTGGTCAGAGTCCCCTCTGGCTTTCTGAGGTGAGGTCAGTCCTCCCCCAGCGGCTGAAAGCCCAGGCTCTGCTCTCAAATGCCCACCTGGAGTCACTGCTCTCTGGGGCTCTCTGAGAGGGAACCACCCCACCCCCGCCCTGGCTTGTTGGGTGTAAGGGAGTAGCCCGCTGAACCCACTGTATTTCTTTATTATTTTAAATATATTTTTAATTAATTTCAGAGAGGAAGAGATAGAAACATCAATGATAAGAGGGAATCATTGATTGGCTGCCTCTTGCACGTCCCCTACTGGGGATCGAGCCCACAACCCAGGTATATGCCCTTGACCGGAATCGAACCCAGGACCCTCCAGGCCGCAGGCCAATGCTCTATCCACTGAGCCAAACCGGCCAGGGCATCCACTGTATTTCTTAAACTTGCCAGGAGGGAGTATAGAGGCCTTCCATCCTCTAGCAGTGGTTCTCAACCTTCTGGCCCTTTAAATATAGTTCCTCATGTTGTGACCCAACCATAAAATTATTTTCGTTGCTACTTCATAACTGTCATGTTGCTACTGTTATGAATCGTCATGTAAATATCTGATATGCAGGATGGTCTTAGGCAACCCCTGTGAAAGGGTCGTTTGACTGCCAAAGGGGTCGCGACCCACAGGTTGAGAACCGCTGCTCTAGGGGTCCTAGAACCACCACTGTCTGGAAAGTACCCAGCTTGATCCCAGGACCAAATCCCTTCGCCCTGTCAGAGCTGCCTTCACGCCTCTGGTTGGGATTTATACCATTGGCCTAGACCCGTGGTCGGCAAACTGCGGCTCACGAGCCACATGCGGCTCTTTGGCCCTTGAGTGTGGCTCTTCCACAAAATACCAACTTCTGCTCATGGGCCACGAAGTTTCAATCGCACTGTATGTGTGCGCCCGCACAGGATCCAGCTTTCCTGGATGGCATTTTGGCAGAACAGATCAAATAGGCTCCTTCCCTTCCCCACACAGCCCCCTAAAACCAGGCCAGGTCCCCTCCCAGCTTCTGACAGGTGTTCCTGTACCTCGGGCTGGGATGGGGAGGGGAGGTTCCAGTCCTGCAGACACAAGGATCAGCGCTGTGGGGGAAACAGGGCGGCTTGTTTCCCAGGGAAAGGAGGTTTCAGAGAGGGACACGCGCCACTAGGACCACATGCTACCGACTAGGACCAGGAGACCTGAGTTCTGCTTTCACCGTGACTACAACCCAGCTGGGGACCTTGGGCAAGTCCTTCTTCCCTCTCTGGCCTGTCATCCATAGAATAAGGATGTTACACCAAAGAGCTCTGAAGCCTCAGCCAGATGCTAAAACGCAGCGAGCCCCTCTGCCCCGCCACAGCGGGCAGCCCATCCATGGGCTCCCAGTCCCCCGCAAGCCCAACTCCAAGACTGCCCATTGCCAGCCGCCCGCCTGCCCCAGACGAGCTCTCCCTTATTAACGTCCAAGTCACTTTGCCCCTGGGTCTCATCACACTCTCCACTTGCTCTTTCAAGCAAGACTAATACACCTGCTCGGTGCCAGGTACTGATCTAGGTCCTGGGGATATCCTGCCCTGTGAGCTGATAGTCAGGAGAGGCAAACAAGGTAAGTGAGCAAGCTGTGTGGTGCGTTAGGTGGTGATCTGTGCTCAGGAGAGAAAGCTAAGTGGGAGGGAGTGCGGGAAGGGGAGGGTGCCGTTTAAAATCAATCGTCGGGAGAAGTCCCCTGGAGAAGGTGACACTGAAGCACACACTTGAAGGCAGACGGGGCTGAGCCCTGAGGGGTGTGGGGCGAGGACCTTCTAGGCAGAAGCAACAGCCAGTGCGAAGGCTCCGCTCCTGGCCTGCATCCCCTCCCAAGTGGGGGGTCCCCCAGTCAGCCCCTGTGTCCTGGTCACCTTGGGGTCCCCGAGGCCCAGCTCAGAATGAATGCTCAGCACATGAATGGGAGTCCTCTGGCTTCTTTCTCACACTGCTCGCCCCTTCTCCCACCCTCTGCCCCTCCCTCCAGACTTGCACTTGGCCGCTGAGCTGGGGAAGACGCTGCTGGAGAGGAACAAGGAGCTGGAGGCGTCGCTGCAGCACATGTACGCCACCAACGAGGAGCAGGTGCAGGAGATCGAGGTGAGGCCCGCCCTGCGGAGCACCCGGGCAGCCCTCTTGCACCGTCTCCACCCCCAAAGCACACCTGTTCCTAGAAGTGGGAGGAGAGCCCAGGCGGAGACTTCTCCCGAACCCTGTCCTGAAAGGTCACTCACCCACCACCCCCTGCCGATCCCCAGTACCTGACCAAACAGCTGGACACACTGCGGCACGTGAATGAGCAGCACGCCAAGGTGTACGAGCAGCTGGACCTGACTGCCCGAGACCTGGAGCTGACCAACCAGAAGCTGGTGCTGGAGAGTAAGGCTGCGCAGCAGAAGATCCACGGGTGAGGGCCGGGTGGGGGGTCACGGGGAGGAGGGGCGCGAGGACTGGAGTGCTGTGGGCATATGGACCCACGGGTGTGACACCTGCTCCTTCTCCCAGAAGCCCGGGCTGTGAGTTTGCCTGAGGAGGGCTGGCCCCACCCCTTAAAGTTCTCCCCTGCCTGTCTCCCCCCGCCCCCCCTCCCCCCCAGGCTGACAGAGACGGTTGAGCGCCTGCAGGCCCAGGTGGAGGAGCTGCAGGCCCAGGTGGAGCAGCTTCGGGGCCTGGAGCAGCTGAGAGTGCGCAGGGAGAAGCGGGAGCGCAGGCGCACCATCCACACCTTCCCCTGCCTCAAGGAGCTGTGCACCAGCAGCCCCCGGTAGGTGAGGGCGCCACTCGTGTCTGAGCGCCCAGGATGCCAGCCAACAGGAGAGCAGGGAGAGGGTGGGCAAGGAGAGCTGGTGCATCGTCCGGGCTGTTGGCGAGACTGGTCCCGTTGCTGACAACAGTCAGCAGCTGGCGTTCACTGAGCCCTGGCATGAGCCCATGACCCCGCTAAGCAGCTTAATGGTCATGGCAGTACCAGGAGGTGTTTTATCATCCTCGCTGCTCAGATGAGGAAACTGAACCCAGAGGTTAGGTGTCCTTCCCAGGTCACCTGTTAGTAAGCCAGGAGGGGTAACCACTACACCTCAGTTCCCATTAACCTCAAGGAGGTGACTGGTTAATGTAATACATGCGCAGTATTTAGAGGGCGTTTCAATAAGGGTCCTGGCCAACGACAGTGCCTCTCACAGAGTAACTGAGGGGCGACTGCTAAAGCGGTGGAGCAGGCATAGGAGCCAGGGAGGGGGCGGACACTGCAGGCCTGGGGGTTGCCATAGTGAGAAGCCCTTACCCTAGGGCCTAGGCCGAAAGGGGCCAGGGCAGGGAGGTTCCTGGAACCTGGAAGGCATGGAGGGTGCTGCCTGGCCTGCACTGACCAGGAAGGAGCCTAGGGAAGACATTCCCACCACCTCGGCCGCTCCCACTCCTGCCCTCAGCCCGCCCATCCGTCCCATGGCTGAGCTCAGGAGAGCCAGGTAAGCTGGCTGAAGCAGCCCCTTGAGGTCAGAGGGAGAAGGGCCAGAGCGGATCTAGAGGGACCAGCAGAATATGCAGCTCAGGGGACCAGAAAGATGGAAGTGTCCGGGGCTGGGCTCCCTGCCCTTGCCCATGACCCAGGCCCCCGCCCACCTGCCCCCCTCTCTCTCCCAGGTGCAACGATGCCTTCCGCCTGCACAGCTCCTCTCTGGAGCTGGGCCCCCGGCCCCTGGAGCAAGAGAATGAGAACCTGCAGACGCTGGTGGGAGTGCTGCGCTCCCAGGTGAGCCAGGAGCGGCAGCGCAAGGAGCGGGCGGAGCGCGAGTTCGCCTCGGTGCTGCAGGAGTACGCGGAGCTGGAGCAGCAGCTGAGCGCCATGGAGGGCTGCCGCCTCCGCGTGCAGGAGCTGGAGGCCGAGCTGCTGGAGCTGCAGCAGATGAAACAGGCCAAGACCTACCTGCTGGGCCGGGAGGACCACCTGGTTAAACTTCCTAAAGTACTGATGTGATCTTCAGATTCAGTTTTGCCCTATGTTCTGTTTCTCAGTGCTGTTTATCTTGTGTATTCTTCTATCTTTCCTACTTGTCAGTCTTCCTGGTCACTTTCTGCTTTGCCCATCTTCAATGAATGCTTTCCTATCCGCCAGCCGGCACGCGGGCAACCTCACGCTGCACGCCAACAGCGTGCGCAAGCGGGGCATGTCCATCCTGCGCGAGGTGGACGAGCAGTACCACGCGCTGCTGGAGAAGTACGAGGAGCTGCTGAGCAAGTGCCGGCAGCACCGCGCGGGCGTGCGGCACACGGCCGTGCAGACCTCGCGGCCCATCTCCCGGGACAGCTCGTGGAGGGACCTGGGGGGCAGCGAGGAGGGCCAGGGCGAGGCCCGGGCGGGCGAG